AAACACTTTCAGAAATTCATCAGTCATTAAATAGCGTAGATAAATTACGTATCTTAGTTGCAAAAGCATATAAAAATATGCATCCTTATGGGCAAGGTATATTAGGTGTCCTGCATGCAGCAAAAAATAATCATCCTGAAATAAAAGATTATATTCATCGTATTGGTAAGTTTATTTTATTTATATATTGTTAATTTATATTATTATAATAATTAAATTTTGATACTATTAACTATTTATATAGAATGGATTGACTCTGGTCTTATTTTAATTATTTGTATGCTAAAACAGCAAGCAGAATTGTTAATTAATTTAACAAGTTTTCAGATCGATTTGTCTTTTAAACGAATTAAAGGCGATATTAATGAATTCGAAATTAATACATACGATACAAAGAATAAATTAAGTAAAAAGTTTTTTTATTATCTATATTTTATTTATTTTATTTAATTACATTATTTATTAATAAATTAATATATATATACAGTTTTAAATTATTGTAGAATATATACAAATGTTACATCTGCCAACGGATATAAAAAATTATTTTGCACTTTATTTGAAACAATTCAGGAACTTACAAATCAAAATATACATATATATCATATTCATCATAAAGGTTGGGAATGTATATTGGGAGATTTAGACATTGCGCAGGCGAAAGGTTTAGGACTTGCATTGTCTAATATGGATTCATCTCAGGATTGGAAAATGCATTTAATGCATATATTCAAATCATGTGTTGTTCATTTTAAACGGTAATTATAATAAGATAAATTAAAATTCAAGTTAATTTTTTGATACTGATCTACAATTAATTAGTAGTATGCATTAATAGCATAATCGTCTTTAATACAGGTTTTATCCTGTTGTATTATAATTTTTAAAATATTTATATAATTTTAAATCTTTATTTTATTTTATATTAATAATTAGAAATTTGTTTAACAAGCATTTTTCACAAGAAATTAATAATTTAGCCAAGTCAATTTGTAATGCACCTTCACAAAAATCAGTAGAATTGATTTTAGATCAAATTGAATCATCGGATGAACCAGGCGCAAAAGGTAAATAAAAATTAGATACAATATATAATTTACAGTTTGTTAATAAAATATATAATATTTTTTGAATTTATTAGATTGGGCTAAATTTTATAAAACGCCTTGGATAATTTCATCACTAAATATGCATATGTCTAAAATGGAGCACGATATTTGGAAAAAACATAATAACAATACCAATTCAGCAGAAGCTGCTCATGCTTTAGTAAATAAAGAAGGAAAACAATTAAAGCTTCTATCAGCTATCTTACGGTAATAATAATTTATTAATTATATAAAATTAATTATTGTAAAACTGTTATTAATTTATTTGTTTAGTGGAAAACGATATGACGAAAGGTTATTAAAAATTAAACAAACTCATGAAAATTCGGGTATACCATATACAAGAAATGACAAAAGTGAAGTTAAACGGCAACAAAATGCGTCAAATAGAAAAGGTAAATATTTAAATTATTTATTAAAAATATTATTTCAATATTAATTTTTTTTTATTCAGCAACAAGATATAAGTCTAAAAATGCTAATGTACGCAAAAGAAAAAGTTCCACCAC